CATCTTAGGTCAGATATCTTAGTGTCTACAGCTTAGATCTGATATCTTAGTGTCTACAGCTTAGATCTGATATCTTAGTGTCTACAGCTTAGGTCAGATATCTTACCTAAATTACATATCTTAAAACCTTCTGCTTAAATTGGGTATCTTGATGGCTACAGACTAGGTTAGAAATCTTAATGCATACAGACCACAGTTTCATTCATCTTCCATAACTTTAGAAATTTCCTTAACTTCAAACTGCCCATAGGAAAGTGTTACATAAGGGAATTTCCTCAAATCAAGATTTTCATAAACTCATGTAATGCTTTTCTATGGTAGTTTTCCTTACGTTAAGGAAGATTTGCAAAACTTGGGCCTGCATACTTTGGATATCTCAGTGTCTACAGCATAAGTTGGATATCTTGATGTTTACAGTGTAAGTTGACCATGTAGTCAATATTTATGGTGAAGATGATATAATGTTGCACTGTGTATACTATGCTACAAGAAAATGATAATTGCTAGGAAGGAAACTTTACTTTGTTAATCAAACCTTATCCTGAGGTGTCAGGTTACTATAAGAGGTGATTGTGGCAGATTAGTTTCCTATTACTGGGCCACACTGTATACTCTGTTACCAAACTTCTGTAATAATGGTAGTTAAGCCTCTACAAGACTGACACCAGCTGTGGTGCTGGCTATAAATGATTTGAAACACTTGATGTTAGTATGCTGGCTGTGTACTATCTTGTTTTGTAAGTATTTTGTTGTAAGATGGTTGTGAGTACCAAACCTGCTTTATCTGGAATAAAGATAAAATTTGAACATGTTTCAGATTTGTTTTATGTGATGATATTTAGTATGCAACAAGAGTCTGAAACATGAGCAACAGGAGAAAAACTATATTTGTCCATTCCATCTCAAAAAGATTCATAATTTACTGTATCTAATGAATACAAACATGGAAATCATAAGATTCAGTCAAAATGCCAAATGGGAAATCATTCATATGTTTTGATGATATATCAAATCAAGTTATATAGAGATTAGTTGAAAACAACAAGGAGATATCTCTGAACAAAATTAAAATGCTGAAAAAAAACCAGAATAACTCTTTGATTATTCCAGGATCAAAATGCTAATTATGAAAAAAAAATCTCAGGTTTTGGTTTTAAAGCCTATCCAGTTAAGAAAAAATGGTTAAAACTGGGGGAGATCTCTGGACAAGATTGAAAAGCTCCCTCAAGAACTTGTTGAATTGAACTTCCATTCTGGATGCATTATTTCATTTCATAAAAAAGACTTAAAAATTTGAAATCAATCCATTGAAAACTGGAAATCTCTGGAAAAGGTTACCATGAAAACAGCAAGGGGAAGTAACTCTTCCTCAACTGATTTTCAGGAAAACACAACTTCATGTAATGGTGATAAAGGCTACCTTTGATAGAAATCAGATAGAAACTGTGTTAGCTATCTGGACAAGATGAAAACAAGCAGATACTCTTCCTAATTACCAAATGAAATTGTCGTTAAGGAAAACATGTCTTCATTAAACATGTGTTCCTATCATGGTGATTACACCTACCAAGTTCAAAAGAAATTGGTTGAAATCCATGAGAAGATTAACAAATATGAATACAAAGGGCAATAACTCTCAATAATTAATATTGTCTAATCAATTTGCTTCCAGCAAAACTCAACTTCAGTTTTAACAAGTTTGTAAGCAATCAGTTGAAAAATGTGGGAAGAAATCTGACAAATTAAAGTTTACAATAGAGCGAAAATGCTATTCCATAATATGTCTAATATAATTTATTTCTGAGACAGGTAGCCCAAATGTAATCAAGCCATATTGATAGCGTGTGTTTGCGCATTGTAGTCTATGTATTAGTGGTAGGCAGTTGGGTGACACATTGATAATGCACATGCTTTTTCTAGTGGAATACGAAATGGTAAGAATGCTCCACATCTCAATCTGGGCCAAACTATAGTGTATTATATAAGCTGATTCATCGTTTCACATTTGATGCAAAACAGCGAGGGCATGGTTTTGTATGTTTCTGTGGAATGAGAAACTGAACAAATTAGAAAATGTTTATAAAATGCCCCCTTCCTCCTTCTATACATCTACATTAAGTATCATTGTGTATGAATCAGAAGTCTGACCTTTGACCATTTAGCAATGACCAATGAAAACTTCAGTTAAGAAATGATGTAAAACATAATGCTATGCTACTATGAAATGGGTACCATTATGTGTCCTGTATCCTGCCCACATCCTAGAAACACTGAAGTCTCCTGGACATTTCTATGGACAAATGAACTGGACACAAGCTTTTTCAGACATTTTATTAATGTATGTAGTAATGATGATTGTCCATGGTTCAAATTTCAATATATTTGAACCAGAACTTACAAAATTCTATACAATTATTTGTCAATCTCTTCATATAGAAAACATTACTTTTTTCAAAATATTAATTTTAATGACAACAAATATATGTATGAATTAACATTGATTGCAGAAATTCTAGCTCTGTTCACACATCATTAACAGAAAATACCATTTGACTTGATGTGCAAATTTAGACTGAAATTCAATGACTTTCTCTAGATCTGATTTGTTAGTGAATTTCAGGTCAAATATATTATTAGTACTTATAGCATAAAACAATCAATCCATGCATTTTGTGCATCATATCAGCTAATTGGAAGGGTCATTGTCCTAGTAATCCCTCCAATTACATGAAGACACAAGGTGAAAACAAAGATTTAGTAAATCAAACTAGTTTTTCACAAAAACTGTAGAGTCCAAACTGAAAGGTTCTACTGTACACACAAACCAAAGTGTCCAGTATAACATGGTTCTATTGCACACACAGACCACAGTGTCCAGACTAACAAGGTTGTACTGTATACACAAATCAGAGTGTTCAGATAACAAGGTTCTACTGTACACACAAACCAAAGAGTCCAGACTGACAAGGTTATACTGTAAACTCAAACCAAAGTGTCCAGACTAACAAGGCTCTACTGCACACACAAACCACAGTGTCCAGACTAACAAGGCTCTACTGTACGCACAAACCACAGTGTCCAGACTAACAAGGTTCTACTGTACACACAAACCAAAGTGTCCAGACCAACAAAGTTATACTATACACACAAACCAGAGTGTCCAGACAAAAAAGTGTCCAGACCAACAAGGTCCTACTGTACACACAAACCAAAGTGTCCAGACTAACAAGGTCCTACTGTACACACAAACCACAGTGTCCAGACAACAAAGTTATACTGTACACACAAACCAGTATCCAGACTAACAAGGTTACCTTGCACCAGGAAAGGAACAATGGGTTACATTAATACTTGACACAGTACATACTTGTGACTTCAGTATGTATCAAGTAAACTTTTCTCTGTTGGAATCATGAGGAAATGACTTAATACTATAGTACTAACAATCTTAGTAACAACAACACTGAAATCAGCAGTAAATAACGATACATAATGAAGTAACAACACATTTCACTGGTCGAAACATATTAATGGACAATTAGATATGAATTGATAGCGTTTTTTTTTTCTAGATGAGTCAAATGTATAAAAATACTGAGTGAAATAGTGAAACTCAGTGACATATGTTGATGCAGCATTGTGTTCTGGCGTATTCTCTCTAACCAAGGCACCTACTTTCATTCACCCTGTCTGGAGGATACTGCCTGCAATGGACCTTTTCTGTTTCCTATTAACAATTTTGTTTTGATGAATGAAAATTTTATTCAGAAAAATGATCAAATTCTACATAAGGTAGACTTTGCATGGCAGTTTAAAACTTCTTCTCGATGAAATATAAGATATGATGAATGAAAAATTTTATTCACCTAAAACTTCTCTATGAAATATCAAATATGGCAGGTCAATATATCACTTCTGGTTTGAAATACCTCTTTATTGTTTCATTACTAATGTTTACAAAAGTGTTTTGCGATTCTGAAGCAGTCAAGTATTGCAGGGGTAATTATCTTCTGTCTAACCTCACAACTACTGTCTATCACCTATCACTAGTATGGCTACCAAAATCGGTACACTCCTAGCACTACAGTCAATCCTCATTATCTCAATCTCATATAACTCAAAGACTATTTAATTTGAAGTATTACGTCGATCCATGTCAAATTTCACCCTAAACATCTGAACTCAGTTAAATTGAATATTTGAGGTTTTCCAACGGTCCCACTGACTTCAGAGATAATGAGGTTCGACTCTATTTGAATACAACTTACAGGAACCTTTTGCTAACAGTAGCACTGGCATCCTGGAAATTTTTTTTTTATGTAATTAATACTCATTACACTGTCATATTGGAGTTAAAGTTCAGTAAAATGAAATGTGGAAGATTTGAATGATTTTGAAATAAATTTTAGGAAATTTGGACTGTCATGTCACACCAATGTTTACAGATATCCAAGGACACATTTGAGCATTTATTTACAGTCCTGTGTACAGAGACATGTCACTTTCACTTATTTCACCATTAAGCCAAAGGATGAAATACTAAAAGGATGTGCTGAAGTTGATTGTTAAAACCTAAACACGTGTATTATTTATTTGAGACAGAGTTAAGTATTGGGCTAAAATGTCAGTTTTAAGCAAAGGTAAAAAAACACCCTGGGTAAGCTTTTCTTGTATACAGTATACAACATAAGGATTATACCATGAGTTTCCATTTCATGTGAGATTTACCAATGTGATACGAGGTTCATTCTAGTGATCCTCTGATTGGACGAAGTAATCATGGCAATGTGAAAATTCACCTGCATCATAACTGACATAATTTTAAAACAGAAACAACTTGTTTCTTTGTCTACGGTCTCCATAGTGATGTTGCCATGCAATCTACAAGTATGTGATGTCATATTGTTACTGTCTCATGACATCAAAGTTCAAACAGGTTCCACAACACAAGTTCACACACAAGAAACATACATGGATTAATTTACTGAATAACACAACAATAATGTGATTTAAAATTTATTTGAGCTGAATGGCACCAGATGACTATACTCAATTTGTGTTTTTGTATTTGTGATCTACTAACCATAAACCACATGCTGCAATACTTAGTACAGTGCTTCTAGTAACATTCAAATTTCTATCAACATCAACAGCCCCAGTTATTTTTCTAGGACATGGCAACAAATTTTCCCCTCATTAGGCAGTAAATGTATGAGCACTTCACAACCTAGTACCAGGCAATACTGCTTATACTGATAGAACAATACTTTTGAGTTCCACCAGAGAGTCCTTGATAAAGCACAGGGATCAAATGTCACATTCCTTTATGATTTAGTCCTTTAATGTACAAAATCTTCAGAGCCATGTAAATTAAGACACAATTAAGGTTTCCAGTGCTAGAGATTCCATCAGTCTGTAACGTGGTGTCAGTGACATTAGCACGTTTTGTGAGTGCCGTTTATCATATAGTCAGTGAAACCAGCTAAGGTGTCTTGTCTCTAAAAAATATAAGGTGCATGAATTCTAGCAAGTCTTTCCAAGTTTCTTCCATTCAAATGTCACTTGTATCTAGATCTGATAACACTGGCTGAAACTTGATATCAGAAAATCTGTGATCTCAACATTTCACCATTAAAGCTCACAAGAGAGGGACTGATTAGGCAAAGACAATTTTATTGATGTCCTGGTGTGAAAAATGAACTTCAATTGTACCAGATCCACATTTCAGATGCTGAATTCTGTGACATGCACCAAATTAACTATCATATCCAACAAGATTTCACTTAGTTTATCAGTCCCAGCGTGACCGTTTTTTCCGTTTGCTGTTAGGTTCATCTGAGGCTGCTTGGGGTTGTGCAGGATTGCGGGTTGCATTAATTGGTTCTAGGATGTGACCAGTCTTCTGTGGTTCAATATTATCGGCGGCCGCCACAAAGTTGGATTTGAACTGCGCCTACAATATCAACAGGTAGATATCAAGTATAGTTGGATCACAAGTCAAGTTTTTGATAAACTGTCAAGAAGTGATTAATAGAAAAACAAGCGGCCAATGGGGCCTGCATCACTCACCAAGCTAATTTAGCTATTCAGCCATTTAAAACAGAATTTCAAATATGACCAACAATTTCTGAAGACAGATCCATGTTTCATAAAAACTTCAATAATATCGTTGTATGGAAACAGGATTTTCAAGAACTTAAATTTCCCCAATTGGGCCTATCCCTCCTGCTGAAGGGGGCCAGGGTGAACAGTTGATACACAACTGATTCCCATTTTCTCTAGTATTTTAAAGATTTTGGTCTATTTCCATTATTGGACTCCGTCTTTCCTTGCACATTCATGATATTCCAGAGGTTGCGTTCACTTTCACACCCCTTGAACATGTCATGGCAAAATTGAAGGCACAAGCAAAGTAATTTGATTGGTTCCAAGGAAAAAAACCTGACCAATCACAGGCTCATTCTCTTCTTTTGATTATTTCATAGATGTGACACTCAAATTTCAAAGCCATTACAATATGCTATTGTGTGACATCAAGATTTGTTTGAAGTACATCAAAGGATCAAACTAGTCTATCTATCTTGTCCGCAAGGACATGGAACCTTTAATTTTGTAATGACATGCTCAAGGGGTGTACATAATGAAATGAACATAACCTCTAGAGTATCAAGTATGTCCCTGGCAAGGGGGCCAAGACTTACTGTTACCACAAGATTGATTCCCTTTCTCCCAAGAATGCTTTACATCAAATTTTGGCAAATTCCATTTATTTTTACAGCAGGAGAAGGATTTTAAATAACTTGCAAAATCTCCCTTTTTGTGCCCTGCCCCTCAGGCCCCATGGGGCTATAAACCAATATTTATGTGCATTCCAGTAGATCTGGTCTGCTTATTACTAGATACACAGATGTAACAGTGTAGATTGTCATTGCCAGTGTCACATTGAGGTTTCCTTGTAGTAGCTGGTGCCTACCTCACTAAACAACATAATGGAGGCATTCTGCATGCCGTCCACAGCAATAACAATAAAGTGTCCTGTATATTTCTCAGCTTCCAAACAGCCATGGGTAGGGAGTGTTGAATCACACATCAAGTATCTTCACAAGAGTATGTGTGGGTCAATACTCCACTGACTGAACTTTCGTGGTACAAAGTATAATTATACAATATATACACTGTCATTACTATGGCTAGAATAAACAAAGTATAATTATACAATATATACACTGTCATTACTATGGCTAGAATAAACAAAGTATAATTATACAATATATACACTGTCATTACTATGGCTAGAATAAACAAAGTATAATTATACAATATATACATTGTCATTACTATGGCTAGAATAAACAAAGTATAATTATACAATATATACACTGTATTACTATGGCTAGAATAAACAAAGTATAATTATACAATATATACATTGTCATTACTATGGCTAGAATAAACAAAGTATAATTATACAATATATACACTGTCATTACTATGGCTAGAATAAACAAAGTATAATTATACAATATATACACTGTCATTACTATGGCTAGAATAAACAAAGTATAATTATACAATATATACATTGTCATAACTATGACCAGATTTAACAATGTATTATTATACAATATATACATCACAGTAGTACTGAATATTCAGTAAACATTAGTTTGAAACACCTGTAACTTACTGAGAACGCCTGTTTCATAGCAGACATACGGTCACTCTGAGGTCCAGCAGATGATCCCACACCTCGGAAACTAGCCATACTGGAGGAATCCTGGGTTCTTGTGCTCTGTATAAACATAAGGGAGATAACTAAGTAATTTATAGAATTTCCTATACATCATTAATCATATGTGATTTTACTACAAATCGATACTATCTGTTTAATATTAAAGTTAATTTTAACTCCAGGATTCACTAGCAGATGTATCACAAGCCTTTGTCAAAAGACTGAAGCAATATTTGTATATTTACAAACTCTTTGAACTAATGTAACAATTTATGATACTTTGAAATATGTTGTTATATTGGACAGGTATTGTTGCTGTGATTTGGATGGAATAAAAACTGCCAAAACAGATATCTCAAAAATACAATAGGTCCAATGGGCCTGCATCGTTCACCTGGTATTCAACTTTAATCAAATACTGAAACAGTGTTTATCACATATACATTAACACATACACCACTAGCACCTAAAGTGGGTGCATCTTACCAATTTTAACCAATTTCCACCACAAACAGGTTCCGATTCTACACTCTAAACAGTGACAATTATGACCTCAATTATATGTATTTGTCATTTCTTTTTTTTCATAATTTGTCACATTTCCAGGTTTCCTACCAGCCAAGTATCAAGCTTCTGCACCTTTTGGTCAGTCAGAAGAAGCCATTTCAATGCGTTTAACAAACTTGATCCAAATGACCTTAAAAATGGGCCAAGGTAATTTCTTTCCACAACTTTGTTAGGCTTCATCTTATGATCCTATTAGACAAATACCATGCTTTTGCACATTTTGGTTTATCAGAAGATGTTAATCCAAGGTTTTAACAAAGTTGATCCCTGTGATGTTGAATAAGGGTCAAGGTCATTTCTTTTTCCTATGAACTTACTGATTCTGCCCCTAACCCTGACCTGTTTCCCGACCCTATGAACTTACTGATTCTGCCCCTAATCCTGACCTGTTTCCACACCCTATCAACTTACTGATTCTGCCCCTAATCCTGACCTGTCTCCACACACCATGAACTTACTGATTCTGCCCCTAATTCTGACCTGTTTCCACACACTATGAACTTACTGATTCTGCCCCTAATCCTGACCTGTTTCCACACACTATGAACTTACTGATTCTGCCCCTAATCCTGACCTGTTTCCACACACTATGAACTTACTGATTCTGCCCCTAATCCTGGCCTCTCTTTGAAGCCGAGTCCTTTTCCTCCCACATTCAATCTCTTCCCCTTTCCTTGCTTGAATCGGCTTTTGCTGAACCAAGGATTCTAAAAATTACAAATCAATCATGACATCAATACATCATCGATAAATGAATAAATTCCTACTTTCATCAAAATTTTGCATGAGGAAACCATTCAGTATTGTATCTAAGCTTTCAGGTCATTTCAGCAACCTCCAATACTTACAGATGGAAATAGTTTGCAATTTCAGAATTAGTTCTGAAAGGCTCTGCAAATTCTATAATCTTTTGATCAGTCTGAAATATCCCATGCAGTGATATTTCATCATTTAAAATTATAAAATTCCATCTTCACAGATAAAAGACATTTTACCTACTTGTGACCACTGTACGTACCTGTAATGCTAGATCCATCAGGGATTTAGGTACAAACTGGTTAGCTACCTCCATGTTCCTTACAAGTGGCCCTGCAAAGTCCTTATCCTTCTCTGTCAGTAGGGTGTAGGCATAGCCTTTCTCACCTTGTCATTGCAAAATCATAAAGTCATTATCTTTCAACTCATCAACAATTATACAAGTTTAGCAGGTTTTGTTAGTGGCCATCTAGTTTTCGCTACATTTGTAAAAAACATTGAAATCATGAACTATATTGTCAGACCCAGATTGGTGTCCTTTTATATATTGTACTTGCACATTAAACAAATCTGTTGTTATAAAGGCCAGTTATAGGGTACATAACTGCTCGACCTGTGATATAGTATATACCAACTCGACCTGTTAAAGGGTACCTACCTGCTCGACCTGTTCGCCCAATCCTGTGTGTATGTGTATCAATGTCTCGTGCTACATCATAGTTCACCACAGTCCTGATATACGGAATGTCCAAACCTCTAGCTGGAACAACAGATATATAAATACATATCAGGAAGATGATACATTGTTACTCAATCATATAAACAAAGTTGTCATAACAACAAAATGAAGACTATGAATATATTGCCAATATTCTATTTCACTGACCCAATTTATCAGTTTAATTAATAAATATTACATGTAATATAAAAATCTAAAAGTTGGAAAATCATTGTCAGTTTCAGAGACATCCTGACCATCATTTGTTAATATCTCTCTTTAGTACACGTGAAACAGGTGATGTGTGTATGCCTTGGCTCATAAACATTTTTTTTGCCCAACTGGACAGAAAAGCTAGAGCTGAGAAACTAGGGTTACACACTAATACTGTAGATCAGATATTGGCCCCCAGACTTTTGGCCTTTGGACTGATATCTCATGGTAGTAAATGATAAAATATATATATTTTTTTAAAAAATCATTAAAAATATGTAAACACAAAAATAAAATTCAATGTTAATCTGTTTTTATATCACATAGAAAATATTACTTATTTATGTCAGTAAGAGACAAGATTTGCTGTAAAATGTTCAAAAAGAAAAGTTACTATGTGACTGGAAATATGGCAGCAACCTACAGCTATTGCTGAAATACCTCTAGCTCCGCGTTCAAGACGTTTGGTTTAGGATCAAATTTGATCTCTGATAAGGTAATTTGCATTGTATTGTCGGCTGACTCTCATGGAAATGAATGTGCACCATGGAACTGAAGGTTGTGTCACAAGTAAACTTTCCCTTCAGGTTTCTGGTTTTGTGTTTTTTTACATTGGGCTTTATGATTTGTCAATTTTAACAGATGATTTGTTTCCTCTTTTTTAAATGGTCTAAGCCTGCAAAAGTATTATTTTTCACTAGTAAAAATCTATATTTCATTGGCACAAATGTAATTTATAATAACCTGTCACTATTATGGAGATATTACATACCTGCTACGTCTGTGGCTACAAGGATAGGCATCTCCTTGCGTTTAAACGCTGTGATGATCTCATTTCTCTCCATCTGTCCCATGTCACCATGGAGAAGGCCCACTGTTACAAACCAAAGCTATATGAAACTATACAATATAAGAAACTAGGAAACTAGTTTGGTTTTTTCTTGCTTTATGTCCTATTTACAGCCAGGGTCATTTAAGGATGTGCCAGATTTGAGTGGTGAAGGAAAGCCAGAGTTCCCAGAGAAAAACCACTGACATGCAGTCAGTACCAAGCAACTGCTCCACCTAGGTCTTGAACCTGTTACCCAGAGGTGAAGGGTTCATGATAAAGACAGTCAAACACCTTGGCAAATAAGAAATTTCAACAATATTTTGTTTTTATACATATTACAAAATCTCACAAATTTCAATTGGTGTCAAAATCAAAATATCTGAATTTAACAATATTATATATCCACCATTGAAATTTTGGAATTTAAATCCTATGATATAGGTCTCTTCCTACACATTTCTATTTTTCTCCAAGTAAAAAAGGTGAAAATCAGGCACAATGTCGAAAAAAAGAAAAAACTGGTCACTGGAAAAAAAATTTCATTTTACATCTAAGTTTCACCAACAAACACAAAACTTAAAAACAATCATGTGCAATGCAAAAGTGTGTACAGCAACACTTTTATTTTTGATCTCCATAAAGTTTACAATGTAAATGACATGAAAATAACGTGTGAAGCATTCTTACATGAGAAATCTCTAGTGCGTAAATTTGTAGCCAGTTCTTCTGAGTTGGATTTCCGGGTAACAAATATCAACACACTACCAACTGAAAAAAATAAATTAAAGATAAGAATTAGAATGTAATACGGACAGTGATAAGATAACCTGGACATTTAAGATTTTTACTTTAGATCATAAACATTACCTGTTCAAACATGAATCAGATGTATAAATGTGAATATTTACTGACGGAAGATAAAAAAGAGCATGGTGTCTGTATCCCTCATCCGCTTGTGTATGTCAGTAATTACTGGTCATGCTTTTTGATTCATTTTATTGTGTATTAGGTACGGATCATATTCATAAGTTACTGAATGTCACTAAAGTCAGCTTATAATAAATAGTACACAACTTAATACCTAATTAATATCCATACAGTTGAATATAATTTCTGTGAATAGATATGGTATATTAAAAACATGTGAATAATTGATACAAAACAATGTACATTGTGTTTACCTAATCTAATGCCAGATATAATAGGCATCAAAAACACATGCATATCTGTATATAAGGAACACATCTTGTTGCCTGAACATAGTGTTAAATACGATAACGGTAATTCAGCTGACACAGCATGCTTTGTTGGCTTAGATCACAAAACCATGGATTATCATGCAAGAGACATGGGTTCAATACCTGTTGAGAGGTTACGCAGGTAAATTTTTTCCATTTAGTTTTGCATAAAGTAATCTCTTTCATTCATTTGAGAACCAATTGACCAACAATCTGTCATTTTGAGATATCTCAAGATCTGCAGTCAGTAGTTTTATCAATGTTTGACCTGAGATCTGCAGTCAGTAGTTTTATCAATGTTTGACCTGAGATCTGCAGTCAGTAGTTTTATTGTTTGACCTGAGATCTGCAGTCAGTAGTTTTATCAATGTTTCATTAAAAGCCAGAAAAAAGGATAATTTTTTAATTTTAGTCACTATTGATTGAGATACACTAAATATAATATAATAGCCATGAGGTTGTTTTAATCTTTGCCAAAGATAATGTTGGTGAGATCTTTGTGCTGAATGTAAATGTCACATACTTGAAGTAAAACGAACAAGGTTTTTGATGAGCCATGTCCACTTGGCTGGTCCAGCTGGCAGTACCTCTACGTATTGAGTGACATCCTCGTTTGCCTGTGAGTTAATAGAATTACATCCAGGTTTATCAGCAGGTTCAAATTCAATAAAAAAATAAACTGTCTTCTATCTGTATGATTCTGATATGATATTACAACTAATTTCAATTTCCTGACTACAAGACTTACCTCCCCTGCTTCCCCTTGAACAACTCGTACAGGATCCAGAAGAATGTCTCTTGCTAAGCGTTCCACCTTCTTCTTGAAGGTGGCACTAAAGAGTAATGCTAAAACAAACAAACACCATCATAAAGTAAGTAAAAAGAGAACCGCAGAGTGTAACAATATCAGCCCATCTCATGCCAATAAAATATTCATTATTTATTACATTGTTACCCCATATACTATAAATAACCTGGAATACCTTACAACACATAAATCTAAGGTACGATTACGTTTTAATGATAAGAAATTGTAAACAATAATCCACTGTTAATTCACACTTACTTTGTCGGTCCTTTCTCACATGGTTAGCTATAGACCTGACCTGAGGTTCTGAAACAGATGAACACACAGCCATAGTAAATATTATGGTTATAGACCTGGGGCTACCTACACAGTTACCATAAATACCAGAGTGAAAGATCCTGGGGTATAGAAAAGATTACTACACAGCTACAATAAATATCACTGCAAAAAATGATAGGCAATCTATAATAAGAATCCGTAATTCTTACAAATATAAAACATATATTGCTAGCACATTTTCTTTCATTTTGTATAGAATTTAAAATAATTTACAGGGAAAGTGGGTAAAGGTCTTTTTAACTACAGTGTTTCTGGAAAACATTTCATAAGAAAAGATATATACATAGATATATAAGATTTTCTCTCTATCTTGAATAAAAAATCAAGAAATGCTTCATTGGTCAATTGAATATTTTACAGTGTGTTCAGCTGAAGCAAGATGGAAATCTGTTGAAGAGTTACAGAACTTGTTCACAAGCAATTCATCTTAGATCTAAACATACTGATATTGTGATTTGTAAATAAGCTGTAGCTACACGTCCAGACACTCCTGGCAGGAAAAATTATTGACATTGTCTTTAGTTAAATCAAACAAGACCAGAACATTTTCTCATAACAGATACAGTTATTATGGCACATAACTTTTACATGTAGCAAACTGTAAAAGTGAAATCAACTATCTACATCATCACATCTTTCAGATGTACCTTTGGCTATTACCAACTTCCCTTAACAGGTTAACTTATTACAAATTAGCTATATTTTCAGTTGGTGTTATGGATTTTCAGTTCGTTTCCATGTCCTAAGTTATGAGGGTGAAAACTTACCAAAGCCCATATCAAACATACGGTCAGCTTCATCAAACACAAGATAAGTGACCCGCTGGAGGTTGGTGGCTTTCTTCTTCACCAGGTCTATCAAACGACCCTACACACACATTAAACCATAATGACATCTCTAGGAGCCATATTTGTGAACATGTGAATAGCTAGTAGTGATGATCGTGTATAACCATATTTACATTTGCATGAAATTTCCTTACAAAAAAGCTACAAGACAAAAGTGTCATTTGTCAGGCTATAAATGTCATTTCTCACATGAAATCATAATTTGTTATTTAATGTTTAACAGTATCTAATAAATGACACATATAACTACAGGAAGTGTAGAAAATGTAAACATAGCTGATTAGCTGTTTTACAGGACTGCACCTGGAATTATGGTGTTTATAGATAGTAAGAATATCAGCTTTGCAGTCAAACCTACCAATGCAAAGTGGCACTGCCTGCATAGATGCAACATTCATAATGATGAAAAAATTATCATAACAAATCAATGGTTAAATATGGATTTCTCAAAAAAGCTTCTCCATACAAATGTTGCTCTTGAGAAAACAAGAACAACAGCTATATAACTTTATGATGTGCAATGAAAAGTCTACAGATTTTGTGGAGAATGGTTGTGCTGTATTAAATTCTACATTTTAAATTGTACTGTTTCCCTTCATGTTACCCATTCCCTTCCTGATATCACTCCATCCCATTCTAACACACTTCCTCTGTCTATACATACAGGTGTGGCCACTATGATCTCCGCCCCTTCCTGACATGCCTTCGTCTGTTCCCACATGTTGCCACCTCCATATGCACACACAACATTGATGTTGTAGACTTTGCCAAATTTCTTGGCCTCATGGTATATCTGAAAAATGTCACAGAAATCAAAACAAATTTCAACATTTCATTTCTTCCCAAGTTTCTTGCTTTGTAGATTTGAGATTATTTAAGTTTTCAAATATCATACTGAGATAATATCTAAATAGAATTGAAACAAGAGGCCCATGGTCCTTAACGGTCATCTGACATCAAATACAAGATTTAAAATTTTGAACTTGAAAAGAAGTCGAAAATGTGTTTTCAAGAAGGCGGCCATGTTGGATTTCGGACCAACCCGAAATTAACAAACTTTGGTCAGGATCATGTCACGATCATTTCAGATAAGTTTCAGCTCAATGAGACATGTAGAACTTGAGAAGAAGTTGAAAATGTTTATGACAGATGCTGGACGCCGCCTCACAAAAGGCGATCGCAACAGGTCGTCAGATGACATAAAAAAATCCCAATAAAACAAAGAAAATGAAAAGAAACAAAATGAAGACATAAAAACTCTAAAACATTACAGAATACAATGAACCCATGATAATTCAGATGCTGCTTGTTTGGAAATCTAAGAATCTGGATGGAAATGTTGGGGAACAGAATTCTATAATGTTTATTGTACTCACTAATCCAGAAACTGAAATTCTGGTTCTGGAAAAGCTTTTTATGAGTCAAATGGATTTTCATAGTGATATTTTAGCAATATCTTGGACACCTTTCTTTTACAATGTAAAGAAAATTTGTTGTGTTCAGTAAACCATGCAAAAAGTGTACATGTACCACCTATGTATTCACCTTTGGAACTTGTGTCAGAGTTAACGATACATCACTACGTGTCAAAATAATTAATTGTAAAGAAAATATCAAAGAAAAAGTCTAAGTCTTGATTATGAATTTTTGATAACTGATTATGAATTATACAATGTTTATATATGGCCAGTTCTATAGAGAGAAACAGTCTAGGAAAACTCATTATCTGGATGCTTTTGACCTGTGTGTAGATACCTGTTGTGACAATTCCCTGGTAGGGGCCAGTATAAGCCCTATGGGTCCATCCCCAGTCTCCAGTTCCTTTTGGTCCATTATGTGTACAAGGAGGGGCCAGAGATATGTGGCAGTCTTTCCACTCCCAGTTTTAGCTATACCGATGATATCTCGTCCGTTCAGGATGGTTGGCACCCCCTGTTAATGTAAACAGGTCATTTACAATCATGTGTAGTTATAGGGTGCAATATATTGTCTTACAATTTATATGACTTAACATATGGTAAAATAAATCTCCATGCATGTGTAGTTGAAGTCCAAAATATTCAAAATAAAATCAACAAAATTTCAATTGACATGTGTTAATATGAGCTCAAAAATCAGTGTCATATGATATTTTAACAGAAACTATCCCTTTCACTTTGGGCACTGTGAAAGTAAACAATGACATGCACAATCTCTGAAGATTAAATAAGAAAGTAAATGATGAATTTGAACTACAAAATGTCATTGTGTCAAAACACCAGCTTCTCTCCCGTCTGTCAATCATTTTATTAATTCATTATCGATACATAATACAGGCTATCCACCTCCCTTGCAATGCTCTGATGTTTTCGCCAGCCTTTTTTTCCCTTTATTTTATCCGCAGAACTTCCCCTGTTTCATGTGAATTTTTCATAATTTTCTGATAATTTGTATTGAACTAAATGACCCCACTTTTAAGAATTTCATGCCCCTAGGGTGTTATTAGACTAAATAAGGTACCTGCTAATTCTTTTTTTCAGTCATAGTCAAGAGTTACAATGTGTCTGATTTTGTTATGTTCAGTTGCTCATCAAGCATTTCAATTGCCTTGATTTTTCTATATTATCTAGATTAACCAAATGTATAAAAGACCTGAAACAAATAAAACTCGCAACTTTTATTGTCAAACCACTAAACTACCAAAAAAATGTATACTGATTTGTTGGTACTGCAATATGTTTTCTTATTGAAATATTTGAATTCACCATATACAACTCCTTAAGAACAAATAATGTTAAGTATTATACAAGCACCTAGATTCACAACTGGTATCATTCATTTGTCATTACTGGGTTCTTTATTTTTTGGTTATCATAGGCATTGATTTCATATTGATTTTATTGTTTGATGATTAGTGTGTTACAACTGACCTGGGCCTGTATCGGGGTGGGCTGTGAGTATTCCGACTTTCTGATCACTCCCATCAGTTCATTATCAAAACCGAAGTGTGCAAAGCTGGTTGCTGGATTCGAAGGGGAAAACCCGGATACCTAAAAACAAAATGTCAGTTTTCTACAGTGATCAATGTATTCTGAAATACATTTATACAGCAATCATATTATATAACTCCATAACCTTGGTCATTGGATAAAAATAAAATACTTGTTTCCTGAGAAAATGACCAGATCAAGGCTGACATTGGTATATCATAAAACATCAATTAGAATGTTGCTACTAATGGTAGTTAAATAGATGTTTGGAGCCTGCCATGTTACAATGTGTGGTTAAACATCAAAAACATACTACAGCATTAGATATACAGAATGTGATTGGTGACACATACTCCATCCCTGGATATACAGGATGTAATTGGTGACACAGATTCCAAGTGTAATATCCATGTAGATGTTTAGATGGGATCAGTGAAAACTTACCATGATATCTAGTGTAGATGTTTGCAGATAGGATCATTTAGATCCTACCCTGATATCTACTGATGATTTTTATAGATAACATCAGTGAAAACTTACCCTTATTCCAAGTTTATGACGTAGTTCATCCACCTGTGTCTGGGTTAGTTTGGCAATATCTTCATGTTCTTGGTAAAAGTTCTTTACAAATTTCTGATAGTCAATTTCTGTATGGTCAATAGGAGGCAAAGGATCAATCATCTGCAATATAAACAAGTATTGAAAAATCTATTCAAAACCAAAAGATGTGATTGTATGTAAATTGTACATATATGACAAATTACCAAGAAGATTAAAGTTTGTGCTACATAAAATACTAATTGTATAGATTTCACAAAGAAATTCTAATAAAATGAATACATCTAAGCACTCTGTTTATATTAAGCATCGTTATCACCAATTTAATTCTATGAAGTTTTTATTACACATTAACAACTTTGATGGTTACTTTATTTTTTTCTGGTATGATTGGATTTCCATCAGCATCGTATTCAATTCCTGCCTCGTCCTCATCAAGGATAACACCAGCCATAGGGTTTTCCTCCATGTATCGAAAAAATGCTTCCTGAACATCTTCATTTTCGATATCGTCCCGCACTCCTCTGTACAACAGACCATGTTTTAGTGGAATATTCAAATTTTTAAAATCTGTCTGTTATCTTACATAGGGACAATATACAATCATTATCAGGCATTAATTCCATCTCTCTTAATAAACCCACCAATATTTATAGCTGTCAGTAGATTTACTGATAAAATACTCATTTCACTGTCATGTAATATGCCCACCTTCTGACTTAAGGTAGAAAAAGATGTTGGTCCTGAGGTCCTGTAATAAGTCAGCCCACCCCCTTAGTTTGAGCAAGAAATGATTTGTTAGCCCCTGGGGTCCTGTAATTAGCCTAACCTCTGATTCTGAGTAGAAAGTGATGTGTTGGCCCCTTATGTCCTGTAATAAGGCAACCCTCTGACTTTGATAAGGAAATGATGTGTTGACCCTCTGGGGTCCTGTGAAAAGCCCACCCTCCGACTTTGAGTAGAAAGTGATGTGTTGGCCCTGGAGGTCCTGTTATAAGCCCATCCTCTGACTATTAGTAGAAAGTGATGTGTTGGTCTCTTTGGTTTCTTGCAGGAGATATATGGATACATGTTTGTACTAACGAATGACAACACATAGATTTGAATCAAAACATATCTAGAACCTTTAAAAAAATATAGATAACTAAGATATATAGGAGTATACGTAATCATTATCTTCATATGCATGCTACACATCGATCAAAAGGTTCTGTAATTTATTTCATAACCAGTTAACAACAATCACATACTTGTCTTTTTTCTTCTCCTTTGATTTTTCTTTGTGTTCCTTGCTTTCTTTCATTTTCCCTTTTACTTCTTTCTGGAAACCAACAGCAAATTGAACACTGTGCAGTTTGTGATACAAAGTATACAAGTACTACAAAAAATTGTTTAGATGGAATTCAACTTATAACTATTTGTTGTTTTATACATTTTATATCAACATTAATAAATATTAATACATATGTTGTACATTCCCTGGATAAAGTTTAGCAACACCAATATTTGTATTTATTGATTTGACCAGGCTTGAGAATATATGCAGTCTTGTCGTTGCTTTAACTGTATGTAATTATGCAAGGTTTACTCACATTCCTAAATTTTAAATATGTAAGACATTAAAATGTATTATAACATGATAAATAATCAATAATATTTGCAAAAAGTAAACAGAAACATCAGTTTAATTGTTTACACTTGGAAATATTTCTGTTCGAATTGCAAGTGATACCAAAATAGAACCACCTACTGATTACAGTGTAAGATAGTTGTTCACTTGAACAGTCCTATAGATGTGTAAGCAGGGATAAGGTAGTTTGTTTTCAATGGTTTAAGGAAATACATATGTATTCAAATGTAAAGGAATGTTATACTCTGTACTTGTGTTGAGGTGTATTTATTTTGAGGTATCCCTGTCTGGAGTTAACAATCTGGTGAACCACTGGGTCTGAGTGAAACAGTGGCTGGTAACCCTGTCTGGAGTTAACAGTCTGGTGAACCACTGGGTCTGAGTGAAACAGTGGCTGGTATCCCTGTCTGGAGTTAACAATCTGGTGACCCACAGGATCTGAATGAAACAGTGGCTGGTAACCCTGTCTGGAGTTAACAATCTGGTGAACCACTGGGTCTGAGTGAAACAGTGGCTGGTATCCCTGTCTGGAGTTAACAGTCTGGTGAACCACTGGGTCTGAGTGAAACAGTGGCTGGTATCCCTGTCTGGAGTTAACAGTCTGGTGACCCAAAGGATCTGAATGAAAAGTTGACTGGTATCCCTGTCTGGAGTTAACAGTCTGGTGAACCACTGGGTCTGAGTGAAACAGTGGCTGGTAACCCTGTCTGGAGTTACCAGTCTGGTGAACCACTGGGTCTGAGTGAAACAGTGGCTGGTAACCCTGTCTGGAGTAAACAGTCCGGTGAACCACTGGGTCTGAGTGAAATAGTGGCTGGTAAACCTGTCTGGAGTTAACAGTCTGGTGAACCACAGGATCTGAGTGAAACAGTGGCTGGTAACCCTGTCTGGAGTTAACAGTCTGGTGAACCACAGGATCTGAGTGAAACAGTGGCTGGTAACCCTGTCTGGAGTTAACAGTCTGGTGAACCACTGGGTCTGAGTGAAACAGTGGCTGGTAACCCTGTCTGGAGTTACCAGTCTGGTGAACCACTGGGTCTGAGTGAAACAGTGGCTGGTAAACCTGTCTGGAGTTAACAGTCTGGTGAACCACTGGGTCTGAGTGAAACAATGACTGATCTCATAGTCTGATACCCACAGGGTCTACAGGAGACCTTTACTGGTCTCCAAGTCTGATACCCACAGGGTCTACATGAGACCTTTACTGGTCTCCAAGTCTGGTGACTCACATTTACTGCTTTTGTTCTGTGATTTCTTCACATTTACAGATAAGTCTATAATTACATGGTGTGACTACAAACATGTCTTTGTTTACATGGTGTGACCACAGATAAGTCTATAATTACATGGTGTGACTACAAACATGTCTTTGTTTACATGGTGTGACCACAGATAAGTCTATGTTTGCATGGTGTGACTACAAACATGTCTTTGTTTACATGGTGTGACCACAGATAAGTCTATAATTACATGGTGTGACTACAAACATGTCTTTGTTTACATGGTGTGACCACAGATAAGTCTATAATTACATGGTGTGACTACAAACATGTCTTTGTTTACATGGTGTGACCACAGATAAGTCTATAATTACATGGTGTGACTACAAACATGTCTTTGTTTACATGGTGTGACCACAAATAAGTCTATGTTTGCATGGTGTGACTACAAACATGTCTTTGTTTACATGGTGTGACCACAAATAAGTGAAAGTTAACACAGTGTGGCATACCTCAATGTCTGCCATAAATGCATCCAGTGGATCATCACTATCACTGCCATCTTTATTTTTATCATCTGCACTGGGACTTCCTGGAGCAGGCTGATATTCAAGGTCTCCTTCTTCATCATCATCGTCAAAATACCTTAAACAAACAAGCCATCAAACACTACATGATAAATTCAGTTTATAGATAAATGAAATCTACATTTATATAAAACTACAAACCTTTCTTTACTTTTTGTCACATTGGCCTGATTTTTAAAAATGTTTAAAGTATTGTTTCAATGAATCATTACAACCAGTTGCCTAAATTAGTTACAATGCAGCGCCATTAATGCTGCATTGCAGTATTTCACTGTTATCTTGTCCTACCTGGTGCAGGCTTCATAGACACTGATATAGTTGAATATGTATCACATCTGACATTATAGTGATGTTTTTGGTTCATATGCAAGTAGCGTTAAGTAATTTGACAGTGAATTTGGAGCAACATTTACACTGCCATCAAATTTTGAAAAGTGCAACCTCTATAAGACATTTATATGATACCAAATTTATATTGGCAGAAAAAGCATTGTTTAAACCATTCAAAAATCATTGTCCATCTGCAGTTTTCATGATTTGATTTTAACAGGATGATTTAACCAAGCAATGGGACAGGTTACCACAATATTTGCAAGAATAAATGTGATATCTTGACCATATGTAGTTGGAATTATTTAGGTGGACACTATAATTCAGTTTTGCTGGATTTATTCTGTCTACTTATGACATAAAAAATGTCCTTTTCTATATAGGTTACCAGGCTGCATTTTTAAATCAAAGTACTGAAAGTACTGGTATGCTAAGACCATTAAAACAATAAATTCTTTGTTATTAGCTTGCTATATACTGAAAAAAACTATATGCAAGCAGTACATCATTGCAGCCCATAAAAAATGACCAGCAGGTATCAGAAATAACAAGCATAGTAGTATTACTTATGTAATACATGTCCCAAGTAGGCTCCAAGATGAAAGGGAAGTTGTCCATTTCTTTGGATACATTGTAGGGAATGTTGATCTTGGACACCATATTATCACTTTAAAGACTGCGTATCTTATTGGTTTAAGATCATTAGCTAGACCATCATGCAAATAACATGCTACGTACAAATATTGGGCAGCTTCATTTTCCAGCAAATGACTGCATAAGAGTGCCAATTTTATAAAACAAACATGATTTGTCACCATAACTTAAAATAGAAGATGCCTATTCTTCTGGAACACCAGGTCTTATTCTCCTTGTACTTTTTCAGGGAATCTTCAAGTAGATATTGTCTTTGTTTCAATTTCACACTTGTTTTGCTGGTTCTACAATTCTGTTGACATGTTTATATATTCTCTGTTCTCTAAAACTTGTCGCAAGATACTTTATTCCTCTTGTATTATCATTTTTTAACATCCTTACAGTGACCATGAACCTTGAAATTTGCAAGATGTGAATATCTTTTAGGTTGTGAAATTTGAAAGAAGAATGAGGGTAATGCAAAGGAAAACACACCCATGCAACTATCCGTTTTTTGACTGTGACCTTGATCTCGGACATCTGACCCTGAATTTCTTAAGAAACCGTATTCTCATACGGGATACATGTTCCAAATTTGATTGAGGTATACTAACTGTTTTAGTCTCTACATTCAATCCTCAAAATCATTACTATATCCTCTCCACATTGCCCAGGGATAACTGAAACTGTAATCCAAATGATAACTAATACCCCCAACACCCACAGCCTTAGTTATCTCCCCATGGTGACCTTTTGCACAGAAACATCCTCTGAAACACAGCGGCATGTGCACATATTCCCTGACATTCCTGCGAAGTTTTGTTGAAATTGGTCCACAGGTTTGGAAGTTGACCAACATGCAAAACCTGTCTATATTGACCAGTTGCCATGGCAATCAATATTTCGAGAGAAAATGGTGCATGCACATCTACACATTGTCCCGAATATTACTGTAAAGTTTCATTTGAGTTGTCCAGACAAGATGTGTCTACAGACAGACAAACAGATGGATGGACGGATAGACAACCTGATTCCAGTTTACCCACCTTTTGGTGGTATAAGAATGCACAAGAGTGCTTACAAATTCCATGTGGACAGACATCATTGAAAAATAATAATAATAATAAAAACATGATAAAGATGCTTATATCTTGTTTTATTCAGTTTTTAGATACAGTATTCTTTCCATGCTTTGATCAGCAATGTAATCTTGTCATGTCAATATCCTAGTACAAGATTGCATACACAAAATTGTTGTAGGTGGACTTTTAAGATGAATAAAAAAAATACATGCCTAAGTTTAAATGAAGGTTTTAAACAGAAGTTGTAATATGTTCAGTATGCAGTGATTTTTCTAGACAATTGTAAACCATAAACTTGGTATACAGCGATCTTTTCTACACATTTGTAAACAACAAACTCAGTATGTGGTGATCTTTTCTACAAAAAATTTTTTTTTATATATATTGTATACACTAAACTCAGAAAAAAAATAAATAATTAAAACTTTCTATGTACACTACAAACTCAGTATACAGTGATCCTTTCTACACAAACTTGGTATAACTAGTGAATCTTTCTACTCAAGTAAATTGAAGATTGTATACAAATTTACTACAAATGCAGTATACAAAGATCTTTTCCACATTTTTTAAGTTTCTGCCATTTGTTGATTCTTCTTTCGTGATGGTAAATATATTGCCGCCTTTAGAGAGTACTGTGACCTTAAAAGGCAACATGGTTGTTAGCATCTCCTCAAGTGAATAATCATCTTCAACATCTAATTGGAGGCCGGAAAGAAGGACGTTTTTCTCCACCATAAGGTCCTCAAATCCATTGTTGGTCATAATAGCCAATTCCAAGTTAGAAGAATCAATAGAGATACCTTCTACCATTCCAGATTTCATTTCTTCAGGGACATCCACCTCCTGAAAGAGAGTAAGGGAAATAAATAACTATATTTCATTATTGCTATGATTATGTGCAAGAAATATACACTTCTGTATAAGCTTATAGTCTTGAACTTCCCAATAGGAGTCTATATTAAATATACTGTAATTACTTATTTTGACGTTCAGGACTGTCAAATTATTAAGCGATGGACAGCTAGCAAAATAATAATATCTCGACCATGGTCATACAGAGATTGTGTAATTTAATTAATTACATTGGACCGTCATGTAATGGTAATCTAATTATTTTGAAAATACCTGTAATGGAAATGCCATTTTCATAACATAATTTAAATTTATTTAATTACATCATCATGTAATTGAACCCATGCCCGTTACAAACATTAGCTGTCCTAACTGATCCTAAAATTAACTTTGGCTACTTCTATCACAAAATTAACTTTGGCTATGTCTATTACAAATGCCACATTTAGCTACAGTAGAGGTATTTCAAAAATGTATGTCATTGTAGCTGAAAGGACATAATTAATGGTTACTTAACCAGAACTACAGTTCTGAACAAACCACTACAAAGCCTGGTTAACTGTACTAAGAAAATGTCCTCTCAATTAATCAATTTCATTGATTATTGACATCTTATTGTTGTACTCACTTGAGTTTCTTAAAGTTTCAATTTGACTTTTAATAAGGCCCAAAGTGATAATACTGCAATATCTTAATTAGCTCTCGAGGGGTATTGGTTTGACTATTTATCCCATTTCATTCCATTCACCATGGAAACAAAACTCTAAAACGCTAAAAAACAGTCGACAATTAATGACAAATATTGAGTCTAGGGCTGTGTAAAATTGATGAATCAAAAGTGTTGAACTGAAAGTGGATGCAGTTGACATAATACTGAAATGAAATGAACAAATACAGTACATATATTAAAAGTTCAGGCATAATAAGAATTGTACCAATTACACTTTACACATTCACACTGGGACCTTACACTTTACACATTCACACTGGGATCTAACACTTTGCTAGGTTTATCCTAATCTTTATTAAAACACCTTCCGGGATTCAGATGTTAACTGACATCTTCATTATTCCCAATCTTTATATTGCAATCGTTCACATGCATCACTCTTCAACAGAATCAATGAGACATCATGTCAGAAAGACAAAAACTAAATTTAAGCTAAAACTAATTATATTAACTTAACATGTAAACCTTACAATTGGCATACCTGTAGAGTTCCCGTACGATTTCATATCCTGGCCTTGGGGTACTTATAAATTATCTCCGATTAAAAATTTGAAAGAGCTAGATCTACAATAGCACGGACAGTGACCGATATTTTAAAGTAAAGTAAAATCGATATATTACACAGATAGATTCCTAGATCTATTCACGGTAGCGTAAGTAGTACAGTACAATATTACGGATAAGTTTTTTTCTGCTTAATTTCCGATATGTTGGGCCACTGACAGAAGTGACTGCAATGAGACCATTATGAAACGATCATTCAAAAATAAATCCATTTCAAAATACTGAAATACTTTACGGAAGCAACAAAAATGTGCTAGATGCTTACATAACATTTTTCAAATGCATACTGCTTCAAAGCCAAAGGAAAAGTCTTGAAACTATTTTGAAAAAAAGTGCCATGGCGGCAGTGCCCAGCTTGCGCGTCGAGCCTAAATTCAATACATGCGATGGCTCATTTCAAATGAATTGTTGCAAAAAATGCAATTGCTAGTTCAGTATAAGTATTGACACTAAATTCAGCTTATATATATATATATATATATATATATGTAGTGATACTTACCTACATAAGTTACCCGCCATCTTCTTTCAGCCGCCGTCTTCTTTCCGGGGCAGCACCGAGCACCCCGGCTGTTTCCGTCAAAATTTTATGCTACTCTAAATCATTCTTATTTTAGTTTCATTCTTATTTTCAACTACATATTTCAGTATTTTCAAAAGTTTTCAACAGTATTAAACGGGATGAAAATTTTCGAAAAAGAAAAAAAATAGAAAGATATGACTCCCACAATGCATCGCGCGGAAAAGAAAGTTCAGCCGCCATATTGGCATCGCCTCGCGAGATTTACCACCATAAAACGTGAGTCTTTGTCATTGTATTTACAAATTTCGATGTCTGATTATCATTAATACACAACACAAAACGTTTTCTTGATGTACAAGTAATGAAGAAAATGTCGATAAGGTTGTTTCATTTAATGACTAGGATCAGCAACTTGTAGGGGCGATAATCCAATGATTACGGTAATGTCCCAGATGGAGTAGGAGTAAACTTTCGATTTATGAACCAATGAAAACGAAGTACTGATACTCAGGGCCAGGGGCGACAGCAACATGCTGAAGAGCATTGAAAATGCTCTTAGCATAAAATCTATTGTTTACACCTATGGGTTCTGAATGAGGCACACTGAGTTAACTTAATGAACATATGCTACTTCATTATCAAACAAAAATCATTTGATGCTGTATTAGTGACCAGAATATGACTTATCCCTGTTTTGCAAACTTGTTTGAAGTTCACAATATACAACTTCCCATTCCTTGAATCTTAATTTACATATCTTTGATATTCTAAAATATTTTGATAGAATATTGTAATATTTTCTTTAAACCATCAAATCAGCATTAACTGTAACATACTCGTCTTCATTCCTTGCCCTCCGTTTCCCTATGTTAGTACTATATCCAAATGACCGCCCTGGCATGAACCTGCCACCTGCATTACTTGGCATTCCTGCCATACCAGACACAGGTTTTGAAGGGTCTGGTTCATCTGCTTTCTTGTTTCCGAGTGCAAATCCGGAAAATCCAAATCCTCGCGGTTTTCCATCTCCTCCTTTATGAAACATTTTATCTCAAAGATTAAGTCAGCATCTGTAATATATCAACAGAAATATTATACACATTACACATTTAAAATATATATCAAAAAAGCAATTTGATTATGGTATGCATAGATATGGAAGCAAAGATGACAAAATACAAGATCAGATCATTTCTATGGGTCAAAGTTTTAGTAGGTTTTGGATTTGGTTTGATCATGACCTCAGAATCATAGAATAATTCACAATTTGCCAAAGTAAATACTTGACAATGATTTTAAATATCTTGTGAAAGTTGAAGCTAATACATAATAAACATCAATCAGAAATGCTGTTTTTGTGCAGTTTATGTTTTGTAATGTGCCAATTTCATATGACTATGCGAGTGTATTTTCAGTGCTTATTCTCATTCTTCTGACAAGGTTGAGGGTGGGATGAGGAAGAACCTACACAGAGCAGTGTGGTTACATACATATTTGTAGAGGAAAGTCAGATAATATGAAAATAAACAAAGGCATTTTTCTACTAGTTGTGTGCAAGGTTTCAAGTGGCCACAAACCCCTTGAGTGTTGTGTTATATACTGTTGCTAATGGCAGGAGATCCCATTGTACTGTTAGCAATGCAATGTTCTGTGGAATAAAAGGAGTAATTATATGAGTTTTTCTCTTTAGCGATACAATGCTGTTATTAATGCAAGTCATAATGGTAGAGCAATTTGAATTCTAAGTCGAGAAAATAAAACACACTGGGATTGTTTAAAAATAGCAAACTGTAAGGTAAGAAAAAGTCAGGGAGGAAATAAACTTGTTTTGCTTTGAAATGAACCCAAGCTTTCTGTCGCAGGAATAATTCACCTCCGTTTTGCCTCTAAAATGAGCATAATCAATAATAAATGTAAATATCAGTAACAGCATAATAAATGTTGTCATTATTATTATTTTTTTTTGTCTTGGTTGTGTCCAACATGTACACGGACATTCACAACTTGCTTGCTCCATCGTTCCTTAATGTCATTTTAATAGACATCCTCAAAGTTGACATTTTTGTGTTAGATTCTTCTGTCTGTTACAATCTCCAAATATCTCTGCGTAGCCGCACAACATTCAATAGCAAGGATAATACATGGGATTATCTAAATTGATCAGTGCCTTGTGGAGCAGTTTTGATCGATGGCATGCTTCAAACATCAGCGAGACCTCCAAAAGTGTCCCTATATTTTGCATTGAGTATGTATTTAGAACATTGCAACGACGACAACGCGTTATGCAATTTTCCTGGCCTTATTACACCAATTCTTATTTTACCTGCATGAAAACGTTTCTTTCAGACGCCATTCGCAGAAATTTTGTACCTTTGTGACTGAAGAGTTCCAAGTATCAAACCTGAACGGTTCACGTCCAACGATTCATAATTTAAAGTGTCCGAATTATGCAGGTTATATTCTCAGACGTCTGTCTCCACAAAGTCTCGTAACACAACATACATATCTTTATGTATTTCTTGAGTAGGAGACAGTTATAGTATACTAAATAGGCCCCTCCTCCATAAACACTGTTCTATCAAGCGACTGACGATATTCATTGATTCTCTAGAAATGCTAATACTACATTTAAAACACAAAAATGTGTTTGCTTAAACGATTTTGTTTGATGTAATGCCACAGCTTTATTGAATTGCCTTTTTAATACATCCGTTGAAATATTTTCCCCCGGCATGAACCAATTTATTTTGATGTACTGAAGACTCCATATCTGAAACAACACTGCCAAACAAAATTGTTTTCATCCGAACTCAAATTAATTAAAAATAAGGCAAAGTATTAACAAAAGAAAAAAAATAAAAGGAAAATAAGACCAGGTGTTGCGGTAGAGTAAGCGTCTTCTGTACAGTCGATGACACACGCCATTTAAGTCTTGCACAATCCAAGTTAGTATTTTCACGTTCCCAAATGAGAACAAAGTATACAACGACGGAACCAACCGACAAACCAACGAGCATCAAACACGTCAAACTTCAAATTTTAAAGAAGAAATTAAATTGAAACATTGAGATCTCATTGATGAACGTTAAATTTCCCTCCAACTTTAATAGCCTGCTTATCTGGGAACCATGTGTTCAGTAATGTTTGCCTTGTTGATCGCAACGTTACCGTCAACGTCAGGTAAATGATATAGGCCTAATTAGTTTAAATTACTGTTGAACTTTCGATTCCTTGAATTTTCAATAAATGTTACAGGATAAATATGATACATGAGCACCTATTGTCTTAAGTTAGCTACATTTTGCTCGAGACAGAAAGACAAAAACGGCTCCACTATACGCTTGTCCGAGGCTACGTTATTGACTGCGCCAAAATACAGCGTTTGTTTAAAGACAATGACTATGTCCCTGTTCATAGTAGACCATCGTCCGTCACTTTCTTCTTCAGAAGATGTTGACCAAACTGGGTAAGAAGCATCAATGAGTGAAGCGAAGTCCTATTTCAAGTGTAGGGTCTCACCGGAGTCCATGATAAGCTAAGAGGGCCCACATAGACGTTGAAACATTGTAAAGCAATTCTCTCTCTCCCTCTCCCTCCACCTCCCTCCCCCTCTCTCTCCCTATGAAGTTTCACATTTTGATTCTTGTTTACATTCTTGTCATTTGGACTGATAAAAATTTAAATGACGGATACGTCAATGAAACAGAAGGCGCTTACATACGGGGAACACATTGGCGTATTCTTGCACTTTTTCAGCGGTTTTATGTAAGATATCTTACTTTGTTAAAAGGTTGCCCTACTTTCATTGAATTTGACATCCTCGATACTCCACGATAGAGAGCGACAGTGAGCGTAACCCCAGGAGTATCAGAATGCAGATTTGAGTTTTAAATCAGATTCTGTTGACACGTTGGTATTCTCAACAGTATAGAAAAGAAAATTTATTGTTTCTCCTACAACCGTTCCTGCATAGGTGCAGATCTCACGAAATAGGCCACGATCCAAACAGTGGCAGCTATCAGAGCGGACATGGCGGACGTTGATGACCCATTTGTTGCAGGATCTCCTTGGTGATGCACTATTCTCTCGTAACATCAAAATCAATACACATTAGCGAGTAGGCTTTCTAACAAATTACTGTACCTACTACCTTAATCAGTAAGGAACAACTAGTAATATCCAGTTACGACACATAAACGAAGGGTTCGGAACCTATATGACAGTAAATGTACAAATTTTCTGTAAGAATATGTCATGTCATCTACATATTAAATGTTAGGATGTTCGAGTTGGTTTTCATTAGGAAACACAGTTACTGTTACACTGTTAACGACAATTGAGTAATTCAGGAAAAAAACCGCGCCTTTCTTCTATTTTATCGTTTACTTATCATTTTTGACAACGGAACAATACCCCCGATCCTCCCATATCAACATTCGGTAACGGATGTGATGGAAGGTACATAAGAGCAGACAGAGACAAGATGTGTTTATGAAACACCATGTTCCTGGTTGCAACAAACTTATGAAGTTGGAACAACAAAGCTGTACTGTGTAAGGCATGTGATAATTGTATGCACACTTTCTGCAGCACTTATGTCTTCATTGTGGTAACGATCTTTTTACTTTCAAATGTAGGTCAAAGGTCATGGTCAAGCTGACATGGTCAACATTTTTGGTACAACCGGAAATATCCTGTTACAAGGAACACACATGCCTATTTTGAAAGCCCTACCACTTACGGTGCAATAGTTACGGACAAGAATAAAGTTGACGACAGACAAACAGCACAAAAAAACCATATGGCCTCGATCTTTAGATCCAGGGACATCAAATATGTGAAACAGTGTTTACTTATGAGGCTTCTTGTAAGTGTACTACAAATATAACTCACTTGTGCAAAAGTTTCCGGATTTAAACAGGGTCAGTATTTACAGCATGCCGTGTTATCATCGCGAATGTCCGTTCATCAATGTCAACAAAGTTTACCTGACTGACCACTATACATTTAGATATGTACAGGCAGATTGGAAGTTGACCAACGCGTTCACTCAGCACTCATATCACTGTTGTTAAGAGTCGGGGGACGGTAGTTACAATCACGGTCAGTATTCAGTACGTAACAAACAGCTTTTCAGAGTTTGAACGAGACAAGATTAAATTATTTTATCTTTTGCTGTGTTTGTTATCTGCTAATCGTCGTCACTGAAGGAGGAAACAAGAGTCACGGATTTATTGCCAGCCTGACCATGGATGTGCTGGGTTTAGTGACTATCCCGACATGGCTGCAGTGGATCCTGTTGCTGGTGGGCACGATTATTGCGTATGTCATGTAAGTACGGCCTGGGATTTAGCGAGAAGTACACGTAGTTGGTGTGAAGGTGTGAACTAGTGCATACAGACCAATTCACCAACATGCTAATCTGTCAAAATCAGATTTCTGACAGCTGTATGTCCTTAATTTGTAGGATGCACTCTTAACTCAAACGAACCCATGTTAGGTATATATACTGGTGTATGATATTTCAAATTATATCATGTCTTACAGCAAAGGGGAAATAACTCCATCCGGAATTTAGATATTATTGTACCTAAGTTGACCGGGACATATTCCAGATTGAAGCTAAATACAATGGCGTCTTCTGTACCTTGAAGGTTTCATCTAAGGCTTTATTTACCACAAGGATATAATTTTACATCCTAAGTACACTACACCCTCTTATCTAGGAGGAAGGAAATCACGTGATATCGGCCACAGTGGTAAACACTGTTGGACAAACAACTTCTATACCGAGGCATAGGCACTCCGTCCACTCGATTTCATGCTGTAGAAGTGATTGTTTAGAAATTATCGTAATAAAAAAGACTTGAATATTTATGTTATAAACTACTTGAAAAAAATAGAAAACATTGTTGATTTATTCTGTTGCTTCCCGGTGTAGTTTATAATCCGCATCAAAAGTTGAGAGGATATTCTCAAAATTATGTGATAATTACTGGCAATCTCGAAATGGGTGTTCTTTTTCCAACACATGTAAGGCCTCGTATAAAAACAAGACCCAAATGTCTTGAATCATAATCCAAACTCTAATTAAAAAAATGTATATTTATGAAAATGGTGTCTTTGTTTTCGATCTTGAAGATATTTTTTAAAATTTTTCTTTTAAAGTCATATATGTTGATATCTCATTAGAGACGTAATAAATATAGAATTTTAATATATATATTTTAATTTTAAGATATATACATATATATATATATCTTAAATTGAGATTGATTGCTAGTATTTGTGTGTTTTGAAGAAAAGTTCTCTGATAAGTGTTTTGAATACTTGTGTCCAATTGTATAGTAAATATTTATTTGCAATAAAATCTGTTTAAATGAAACGAATATTTCAAAACCGTTATAACGTTTGTTCGAAGTGGATCTATACTGACTTTCTGTAATACACGTTACCTTAAGGAAAAAACACAAAGAATACATGCTTTGTTTCCTCGATAAGAAACCAAACTATTTGGTGTGTGTGTATGTGTTTGTATGTCGTGCGTTACAGCGATTGATAATATGAAAATATTAGATTTTTTTTCTTGATGTACACAAATGAAGAAAAACAGAATGTGTTAAATATTCTTGAAGAAGTACGGTCATTTTACAAAAAATTATATGATGATAATAGAAGTGTAGAAGACGTCAGTTTAAATGATCTCTTAAATAGTTGTAATGTTTTGAAATTAGACAACGCTGTTTCAGAAAGTTTAGAAGGGCAAATTACTTTGGAGGAAGCAACAATTACTTTGAAGTGTATGAAAAATAATAAAAGCCCAGGTACGGATGGTTTTACTGTCGAGTTTTTAAAATGTTTTTGGAAATATCTTGGTGGATTCATTTTAAGGTCTATTAATTTGGGTTATGAAAAAGGGAGGTTATCGGTAACACAAAGGCAGGGGGTTATAGTATGTATTCCAAAGGGAGATAAGTCTAGACAATTTCTTAAGAATTGGCGACCAATTACATTAATGAATATAGTATATAAGATTGCATCAGGAACCATAGCTAGAAGAATTAAGAAAGTTTTAGACACATTAATTAGTGAGGATCAGTCAGGTTTTATCTCAGGTCGTTATATTGGGGAGAACACAAGATTAATATATGACATTATGCAACATGTAGAGGAAAAAAATATTCCCGGAATGCTGTTAATGATAGATTTTGAGAAAGCATTTGATTCCGTTTCATGGAAATTTATTGACAAGGTTTTCAAATTCTTTAATTTTGGTCCAGATATTCGTAAATGGATAAAAGTTTTTCATACTAATGTCAGTGCTTTTGTTAATCAAGGTGGTAATGTATCTTCATCCATCAATATAAGAAGGGGCTGTCGACAAGGTGATCCAATCGCGCCATATATCTTTATTCTCTGTGTTGAAATTTTGGCCATTAAACTAAAACATAAAAAAACATTAAGGGTATAAACATCAGTAATATTCCAATTCTTATCTCACAATATGCAGACGACACCTCTCTTATATTAGATGGCTCTGAAATATCATTAAAAGAATCTATTTTAGAATTGAATGCTTTCGCAAAATTCTCTGGTTTGAATCTAAATATTGACAAAACACAAGTGATCTGGATATGAAGTAAAAAATATAGTGAAGATACTTTGTTACCTGACTTGAAATTACAGTGGGGAAAGGTCAAATTCACGCTTCTTGGAATTGAATTCAGTGTCAATCTTCATGAAATTCCAAAATTAAACTATGATAAAAAATTAATTAAATTGAAATCTATCATTAAGATGTGGAATAGGAGATCACTGACTCCAATTGGGAAAATTCATCTTATTAAATCTTTAATGATATCACAGTTTAACCATTTATTTATGTCTTTGCCAAACCCAGACAACCAGTTCTTGAATAAGCTCAATTCCATCCTTTTTAGCTTTTTATGGAACAGTAAAACTGACAAGGTAAAGAGAGATATTGTTACCCAGAATTTTGATAACGGTGGACTTAAAATGGTAGATATAAAGTTGTTTATAGATAGTCTGAAATTAGGCTGGATTAGAAGATTACACCAGAAATCTGCTAAATGGCAAGCAATTCTTCAAACATATATTGACCTACATATGCTATCTTCCTGTGGAAGTGATTACATTCAGAAATGTTGTAATATCTGTAGAAATAATTTCTGGAGTGATGTTTTCAAAGCCCTGTTGAGGTTCAGTGAAAGGGTGGGGGTAGAATATGTTAAGAAAAATATTTGGAAAACTCCTTTATGGTATAATAAAGATTTGTTGATAGGGAAGACAAGTATATTCTACAAGACATGGTATGATAAGGGAGTGATGATAGTTAATGATTTATTCAAAGATTTTTCTACTGGCACTTTCTACACTTTTCAAGATTTTAAGCAAATTTATAATGTAAATTCAAATTTCCTTGAATACCATGGTGTAGTCTCTGTGGTTAAGTCATATTTAGCTAGATCTGACTTTGTAAGAACATGTACCTCTCAAGTTTTTCCAACCATTCCAAGTAGTATTGAGTGTTTTGTAAAAAAAGGAAATGGGTCAAAAGATATATATAATCTTTTAGTAAAAAACGATATGATTTCTACTGGGAGGAAAAGATGGGAAGAAATATTAGAATTTGATGTTCTAAATTGGAGGGATATTTATAAAAATTGTTTTCGTGCAACAAAAAATACAAAACTTCAATGGTTTCAGTACAGAGTGGTTCAACACATCTTAACAACAAATTTATATATGTTTAAAATTCGACTACTGAATAACCCACACTGTACATTCTGTAACTTAGAAAAGGAGACAATTATTCATATTATGTGGGAATGTCCAGAAGTTCAAAAATTTTTAGAAAGTGTAGAAGTTTTGCTGGAGGCTCTTTTTATTCCATTTTCCTTCAATAAAATAAGTTTTCTGTTTGGTTTCATTGCTAATAAAAATCAGTTAATCAGTAGCAAACTTGACAATGAAATCTTAATTATCATTAAATATTACATATATAAGGCAAGATGTCAACACAAAGCCTTAAGTGTATATAGTCTTATTTATTCAGTCAGGGAATTTTATACCTTTCAGAAATATATTGCCAATAGTAAAGGTGAACAGGCACAGTTAAGTTTTAATGAGGAATGGAGAAAATGGAGAAAATTATTGGAATTGGCCAATTCTTAACTTTAAATACATTTACTGTCATGTAGTATGTTTTACCGTATTTTAGTATTCTCTGTCTTTACAGTATAGCAGGCCCCTTGCTTACCCTTATAGTATTTATTTATTTATTTATTTATTTATTTACCAGGTATTTTTCTTTATACTCGAGTCCCTATTGTTTCGCTGATTATTGCAATTTTTACTAACCCAGATCACCTCTCCTCCCCCCCTCTCTCTCTCTCTCTCTCTCTCTCTCTCTCTCTCTCTTTTTCTCTCCTCTTTATCTTTATGTGTAGTATTGATGTATGTGTAGGAGTGGGTGTGTAAGGGTAGTGTTGTGATGTTAGTAAGGGTGTTGATGAAAATGCCAGGCGATGATGTATGGATGGATTTCAAGTTATAATGACAAATTGTGTTGATAGTTAGGTTGATGATGAGGTGCATATGTGATAATGAATGCTGAGGATGAATCTATTGACATGAAGGTGGTGACAAAGGCATATTGAATATGACAATGATGAAGAATGTATTGACATGATTACTTGATTGAGATCATGATGACTGATGATTATGATGAGGAGGTAATGTTTATCATGAGGAGGTAATGTTTATAATGAAGAAGATAATAATGATGATGGTAATGTTTATGATGATGATGATGATGATGATGATGATGATGATGATGATGATGATGATGATGTTTCTTTTTCTTATGATGATGATGATGATGATGATGATGATGATGATGATGATGATGATGATGATGATGATGATGATGATGATGATACAACTTAATCGAGATTATGGTGATGTGTGAGTGAGCATATTGTATGTTGTATGTTTGATGATGTTTTGTTGATGTAATTGTTATGTACATTAAAAACTCTTGAAAAATAAAAAAAAAAAAAAAAAAAAAAAAAACAACCAAAAAAAAAAAAAAAAAAAAAAAAGAAAATTAAAGGAATAAATGATATTTCAAATTGTTCCCTTAATCATACGAAACATAGGAATACTCTCGGTTTGACTTAATGTGACCCCTCTCAGTGAGTGAGTGTGTGTGTATGTGTTTGTGTGTATGCGTGTGATTGTACGAGAGTATGAAATAACGTGATGTGTCATGTTGTAAAGATGCCGTCTTGAGTTAATTTATGTATGTGTTTTATACGAAGTTGTGTAACCTTTGCTGAATCCCTTTGTAAATAAAACGTAATAAAATATGTTTAAATAAAAAGTAAAGCATATCACGTGATATCTGTTTTTCTTTACAGCTACATGTCCTGGGATCACAACACTTTCAAGAAAATGGGAATAGATGGTCCCAAACCGAATCCAATCTTTGGAAATATAGGGACAATATTTAAAGAGGTAAATAAGGATACATCGTATGTTTACCATTGAATGGCACTGCTTCCATGTAACCTTATATAATTATTTACCATTGAATGACGATGCCTTCATGTAACCTTAAATAACTATTTACCAATGAATGACACTGCCTTCATTTAACCTTACATAACTATTTACCATTGAATGTCACTGCCTTCATATAACCTCATATAACTATTTACCATTGAATGGCACTGCCTTCATGTAACCTTATATAACTATTTACCATTGAATGGCACTACTTCCATGTAACCTCATATAACTATTTACCATTGAATGTCACTGCCTTCATGTAACGTTATATAATTATTTACCATTGAATGTCACTGCCTTCATGTAACGTTATATAACTATTTACCATTGAATGTCACTGCCTTCATGTAACCTTATATAATTATTTACCATTGAATGTCACTGCCTTTATGTAACCTTATATAATTATTTACCATTGAATGTCACTGCCTTCATGTAATCTTACCTAACCTTTAACCATTGAATGGCTAGAATTTGAATTGCTTGCGAACACCCAAAAGCGAATGGATACTTGCGGTGTTGTGTAAATAAATTAAGGTTGTCTTCCCTTTTAACAATTTGAATATATAACACAGGCCCGCGGATTCTAACTGAATGTAGTTCAATTCTGAACCGTACTACAACTTTCTGTTATACACATACAGTGTATAGGACATCTCCTTGTAAGTTTGTGGATATTGTTTTCTTTGATTGCCATTGCTGATGAGAACATGTTCTTTAATTGATGTATAATTTACCAGAACACTTTTGACCTTTTACATTTTAGGGACTTGTTGAGGCTGATATCACATTCTGCAAGAAGTATGGCAGAATTTTTGGGTAAGTTAAGAACTAATCGAACTGACCATTGTAACCGTGCATAATGATAAGTTGACCAAATATTAAATATTGCTGTTTTGCGTCCAGAAGAAAGCACGAGGGTCACAGATATGATGAATGGTGTAAGAGGTAGACCTAGAAGGACATATGATCAAATCAAGAACTGATACAATCAATTCCGAATTTTTTCTCTGAAGACTACGTTATCAATGGGAAACTGGTAAATGGTAAACGACAGCAAAGGAAGGTGTAGAAAATCGAGGTTTATTGGGGAATATGTATCATATAAACACTATTGTTTCCTGTCTCTCCCTTTATATATGGCATTTTGTTACAGGACATATGAAACTTGCTATCCCATATTGTATATCGCGGATCCTAAACTTCTGAAGGAAATTATGGTGAAGGAATTCAATAGTTTCGTCAATAGAAGGGTTAGTACAATAATGAACAATGACTAGAAATATCGCTTTTCTTTTGCGCTGATTTATTGCATCGTCATAAGTCTTTTCACAGTTACGTAACGTCAACACACACACCGCCCCAATTGCCTCAGATGCATATCCATTAATTATGATAAAGATAAATAAAATCGATAAATAAAGTAAAATGAAACACTAAATCGCATAAATTGATGAAAACACACTCATATGTAAACATGTGAACACCACTGGCACAGCACAAAATGCTAAAATTTGTCTTTTCATGCGCATGCGCGTATACTTAATTGCACTTATTAGCTACGTGATATATCCGTGTGGAGCATTGGATAATAATATAATTGAATTAATTGTCTACATGCAGGATTTATTTGCTGTTGCCATAGACGCAAAAATGTCAGAGATGTTAACAATTATAAAGGATGACCATTGGCGACATGTCCGACACACCATGACTCCGACCTTCAGTTCCAAAAAGTTACGACAGGTACACTTAAATACAATTGTGAAGATACATATATACATATTAGACAAAGGAAATGGTGACTGACGGTAAGAATAAATGAAATCATTGAAAATAAACGTTTGAAAAGGGCTTAAAATTACATATATTGCTGAAGAACCTTTTGAAGTTGATACATGATAAGTTTAATTTGTTTTTCTGTGTAGACTCTTCGGTAAAGTGTTATTATAATTATCATATTCAACTGTGTCAGTTGGTTAATCCTTGTTTTATAGAGGGTACACATCGGTGTATAAACATATTGATTTCTGAAATTGAAATGTTACTCTATGTGAACTATCAACAGGTCGGTGCTCTAACCATTTATGTCAGACAAAATGTTATCGGCAGTCATACACAATAAGTGTACAGTGCCTATGTAAATAACCGGTTGAAAAACATGTTTGTATTGCAGATGACACCTTTGGTTAATGCAGCTGCCGACCGATTAATGGAAAACATAGAACGCAAGATAGCAACTGATGAGGATATTGATATGCATAAGTAAGACTTATTTGAGATTAAGATTATTTGAGATAAAGATAATGATTTCTCGAGCATTGCTCAAAAAGCATTACTTTTACGTCACTAAAGGGACAAGCCTTCTTTTGTTACTCCGGGCGGACAATTTCTTGAAAGTGTGTTTTTAGAAAGACCGATATTATACATTTCCTCTAAGCTATCTGACAGTCTTAACCTGTTTTGATTTAAATTTATTTTATTGTTTAAGATAAGAAGGTTAGGTACAATCTACATCGACTCATTTATAATATATAGTTATAAAATAAATGTAAATATATAATTTTCATAATCTGAGTAATTTTGTGTTAAAATTTTCCGCTTATCCGGAAATTTACGCTCACCAGTTCTAATCGTAAAACAGTCACAACAATATCGTTCCTGTTGTCATGATTAACACCATTATAAACTAGAAGATTCTGGGGTAAATTACGTGTTGGAAAATACACTATTGCATTTCGCGGCGGGTTACATTTGGAAAGTCGAACCAAGGTTATTTTTTAAAGATATTTTTAAGCACATGTGCCCTAAGAATACCCCCCCCCCCCCCCCACCTCCTCGCCTAGTTCACACTGTTAATTTTAAACAAAACGGTCAAGTCAGCTTATGGCGTTAGTGTGGCGTTCGTCGTCCGTCTTGCGTCAACTTTATCCTCTTGATTACTTCTTCTTAAAAACCAAGTTTCCAAGAGTAATGCTATTTGACTGGTTGCTGGGATGAAGTCTCTCTCTCTCTCAGATTGTTAGCAGCGTTCACCATGGACGTAATTGCTAGCACGGGTTTCGGACTAAAAGTCGACACACAGAACAATCCCGATGACCCTTTCCTGAAGAATGCATTTTCCTTCAGAAATTCTAAAATGACAGCGGTGATAACGACGTTTTGTCGTGAGTATAGATAATGAAAATTGTAAAACATTTATCTACCATTTTAATTGAATTTATTGTATCTTAGTTCTGTGGTCACAGAGTCAGTCTTGATGCACGTCACTGTAGGTGAAATATCGCAATTTAATCCAGTCGTCAGTGTTAAAATCGTTGCCTGTATCAAATATCTCTAAGCGTGGTTGAATCCAATGTAACGAAAGTTATTGTATTTGTGTTTGTGTCACAGGAAGTGAATATCTTATATGTTAAATATATATAAGATCGACGTTCCTTGTTAAATTCTGAAATTGTTTTAAAAAGATTAATATATTCAATCGTTTCTCGATATCAGTCTTTTTACCATTCCTGGCTGGCCTTCCGCGGTTCTTCGGAATATCACTTGCAAAAGAAGCAACAACATTTTTCCTAAAAGCAACTAAAGACGCCCTTCAGGAGCGGCGAGATAATCCAGGGGTACGTGGTTTTTATGAACGTGTGTTGACATCATTTTGGTACCTGTATGTCTACTTCACGTGCTTTTAATGGCTTTTTATATTGTGCTGTTTCAGATGTATTCAGATTTTATGGCCATCATGGCTGATGCCGGAGAAACAGAGACGAACAAACAGGGAAGAAAGACATGTGAGTTAACGTGAATATATAATATTGATCGACTGTTGGTGTCAACTCTAAACTATTGAAATCGCCATGAGTTTGTTTTCCGTGGTCTTACAGCTTGGTCCTTCCCAAATTTCATTTTCAGATTCCTTTGGGCCGCAACTAATGTGATGCTCTTTAGAATTGTGAAAGATTAGAACACAGAATTAAAAGGAGTTAAAGTTTTGAACAGAACTCTTTATTGATTGTTCTGTTGGTCCTCCAAGGTAATTTTAGGTCTGGTTTCCCTGTTCATTGAAGTCACTATATGATTGATTCATCTGTTAAGGACATATAATGGATGACGAAGAAGTTTCATGAGTCATTATTATCCTTATATGATTTTTTTGGATAGAGTCAAAGCAGGTAATTATGTAAACATTGCTATAAAATCGAGGCAACAAGCACAGAATTTATTCTTTATTCTGTTTTTTTAAGCTGGACTTGTTTGATGCTCGAAAGTTTGCATATTGGATCCGTTATTGTATACCTTGTTCTAATATGAGAACATAGCATTACTTACTTTGATTGACCAAGGTTTACATGGTGGGTATCGTCGATGGAATTGAAGACGCTTACTCTTCCGGAACACATGGTCTTACTGTTAGGAATCTACATGTCAGTCTTTCTTTTGTTCATATGTAGCCCCCGTTGTACGGAATTTGAGTTTTGATTATGATTATGTTGACACGCTGGTATTTAAAAAAAAATTTTTTAGAAAAGATATATTTTGTTGTCTGTATTGATGTCAAATTTCAAGTAATTGATATTTGATGACAATTTTTATATAGTAATCGAATAACATACAAGAGAAATCAACTTTCAGTAAACGACATTATTTAGAGTTTTCTGTTTTTGAATTCCATACAAAAGCATGACCAAATACTGATATTGTTTACCCAGTATTTTATCACAGGGTTGTTTGTTACACTGAAAAGATTTCCATACCCTGTGTATAACTTATCATTATAGTACTTACGGAATCCGAGATAGCGGCACAGGCTGTCCTGTTTTTCTTGGCTGGATACGACACGACGGCTAGCACATTGACTTTCCTCATGTACCACCTAGTCATTTATCCGGAAGTCTGTGACAAAGTCTTACAAGAGATTGATGAAAAATTTGGCAAAGTTAGTGATGATACAGAGAAACATGACATGAAAAATATATCATTCCTCATAACACAGGAAATATTATAGAGTATTATCAAGTGACATGATTGAATAATACCTTACAAAACGAGACTAGTCAGATCTGAATTATATAGTTGTTTAAGTCATTATAGGATATTTGGGGTCAAAAGTATGGAGAACATTGCCGAAAAAATGTCTTTAATGTCGGTACGAAAGGTGGTATCTTTAGTATAGTTCCTGAATTTTTCGTTTTTTCACCCTTGCATGTTCTATAAATAGAAAGTTGTGTAAAGAGCTAGTCAGTAGAAATGAGTAGTAAAAGTAAAGTAACCAATAATTTAAATGATACTCTCTGTATGGTTCTCGTTCTACAGAACGTCCCAGATTATGACAATGTGTGTGAACTCACCTACCTGGAAATGTGCATTAACGAAACAATGAGGTTGTTTCCTATCGCGACAAGGTATGGCTAATGTTGATGATATCGGCAACGATTTAAACATGGAACATGTGGCGCTTTTAACATTATTTCATGTTATCACTGTATTTTTTTATGACAGATACAGCTTCTCGCATGCATCTAAGGGCTGTTACAATGAGGTATTTTATCTAAGTTGAGTTTGATGGAATGGTATATATTTATTGCGATATATATGTACATGACTGAGAGGAAGTGCTTTTATAATGACTGACATATCAAAGACCAAAGCCCAACTGACCACACTATAGTTGATGACAAGTAATATTAATATGATCGTGATTTTTATATTGTAATGATATTGTGATTCGCTAATATTCCGTTGTGGTTGTTGTCACGCGAGAGTACTAACTCAGTATGAGATGCCTCGGGTGATTGAGATTCGCCTTTGAGGGGCTATTATGTGTGCTATCAGGTTTCTTAATAGATTTACCTAGTTATTTAAATTTTGCATTTTATTTGAGGTTGCCATTTCATTTGATATTTTATTTGCAGAATCGACAGGATGGCTTCCCGTGACATTGTCATAGGGAATATCAACATCCCCAAAGATATGGTTGTGAATATTCCCGTAGGCGCTATACACAAGGATCCGGAATTCTGGCCGGAACCAGAGAAATTCATTCCTGAGAGGTAGAATTCCTTGTTATGTCATTAAAAAGTACAATATACATTCATAAGATATTATATACCAAACAGTCATGTAAAACATTGCTATTATTAACCTTTTATCATGTAAGGAAAGATAACACTTTCCAATGAGTTTACGATAAAGGTAAATCTCATGTCTCGGCTTTGTTCAATATCTGGTGGAGGTTCTTCCACAGGTGCCAGTCTATACACTCACACGAATCAAAGTTTGTAACTGTCGATCTAATGAAACGAACCAGTCTTTTTATCACTTGACTGAGAGTGGTCTTAATCGGTAGATAAAGGATTTTATTTAATTTGCGACATTCTATATATTACGCCCTAAAATTATCGCCAGATTCATGACATATCGTTAAATTGTCAGTTAGGCAGACACTTATCCATCTAGCAACGAAATTAGATATATACATCCCTATCAATTTGCTTCAAAAGCATCTTTACATGACATGTTCACAATTCAACTTAATTGCAGTGTTTAGAGTGATCATTTACAGACTTGATTCCTAATTATTTATAATCCCTACGTAATCCTGTCAAACATCACCACTCAGATTGAATTTTAATGAGGCCGATATTTTGACTCATGAAAACGGAAGTGGTGCTGTACTGATGTTTGACAAAATAAAGTAGGGAATAAAAATAAATCAAAAGACCAAAGCGTTTGATTGTTGACAAGGAAGGCATATATAATTTTACCCCCCAAGGTTTTTAAAATTCATTATTTATTGCAATCCAAATCAAAGGGGATATTGATACAGTTACTCGAGATTCGAACCTCTAGCGGGGATATTGTGGGTCCGTTAAATTTCTACTTCATTTACCTTATCATGATCTTGCAACGGGACAAAGCCAGAAAAATGTAGAAATTGTAAAACCAATAGTGTAAATCCTGTAAACAGGATTATAGAGTAGTGAAAATCCATTCATATACTTCAGGTTCACAGCTGAAGCCAAGGTCAAGATGGATCCCTTTGTATACCTGCCATTCGGAGCAGGGCCTAGGAGCTGTATAGGACTGAGACTGGCAATGCTGGAAATGAAAATGGCGATTGTACGAATTTTACAAAACTACAGACCCATAAAATGCCCTAAAACTAAGGTAGAATCACCAATTCCTTCGTTGTCTTTCTGTCGCATTTATCTGATCACAAAACTGATGTGTCTCTATAAAAACATGTTACAACGAACATTTAGATTGACCTGTCATAGGCAACAGCTCCTCTGCAGCAAGTTATCTAATAAATAATATCCATACGTGGTGTAAGATATTAAACTAAACTAAGCGATATGTTGCTCCAGTTCTATTTAAGAGAAGTCAAGGTATATCTCGTTTTTTACTGATATGGAGCTCTAAAGTTAAAAAATAAGATAATTATTTTGATGTTTTTTTCCCATCAGGTTCCTATCGAGACAATGAAGATTGCAAATCGACCTCTTGGATTTCTGATGAAATTCGAGAAGAGGAACTGACCGATGAGTTATTAGATTAGAGAAATAGGACTATATACAATTAGAAAATAATATCTTACATACCATAATGTATAATTTTGTAGATGTTTGATAAAGGAAGTAAGAATATTCATTTGCTTACTGAAACCTTATTAGAATCTGTGTGCTAATGTCAAATATCTGGATTAACATATGTTTATATTTTGTATTTGATTGTCTTTTCTTCCAGAATGAACCTAGAAATTGACTTTTAAAATGTGTATTACATATTTACATACTTACTGAAACCTTATTAGAATCAGTGTGCTAATGTCAAATACCTGGATTTATATATGTTTATATTTTGTGTTTGATTGTCTTTTCTTCCAGAATAAACCTAGAAATTGACTTTTAAAATGTGTATTACATATTTACATACTATGTTACTGATTAAAGCTATCGAAGTATTTAGTCCCTGCCTTTTCTGTTCTATTGTCTTACCTCCTTTACATCAGTTTCTTGTCGGTCTTCACTTTCAAATTAGCCTTGCATATGCCAAAAAATTGTTTTTTCTAAATTAATAATGTGTCACTGCAAACAGGTTTATAGAAGGAGCAGTACTTCTTGATAAAGATAAGTTACACCCTCCGTTTGTGTTGCAAGCACAAGTTCATCTCGAACTAGTTGGCGCATACACGCTGAGTTGTGACAATTCATCAGCGACGAGGCAGCCGCTCAGGTTATTGTTTCAAACGCTTAACTTTGGAATTATTTTAAATGTAAAGCTGTCAATCATTTCAATTCGAAATACGAAATTGTTGTTCACACTGTTTAATTAGAAAATGTCTATTTGTAAACAGGCGTTATTTTGAGTAAGTACAAATGAAGATGTCCGACAGGACGGACTACCTCAAACAGATATGGTTTGATTCCATGCATTGATCCCATTCGGGATCCTTTGCAAAACAACAGAAATTGTATAAAGACGCACGCAGTGTAGATAAAGTATTAGTAGGTATGCACCGATTTACAATCGCTTTAAATGAAGTTGCGTACAGTTTTTTTTTAATCACAAACGTTTTAATCTTAATCGATATTTCCTCAAAGTTTTCATGTCATCTGAGACAACCATCATGCTTTGTATGTCGTCTTGTGCTGTCTGCCGTGTGTAACCGTTTGCTCTAAAGTGCTTCTGCTCCCATATTGCCTACACAACTTTCAACCAAATTTGAATGGAAATGTCACCGGAGTACGGCAATCAAAATTTATATAAATCAAGACATTGTTACCACTAAGTGTCAAGGGGTTTAACTAAACTTGAACCGAAGCATCATTGAGGAAACCTATCTGAATCATGAAATAAAGGTATTGTGACCTCTAGGGACCACGCGTAAAGGTTCTTTCATGGATATTGGGGAATTAGACTTGCACATTCTTCTCCTGTGGAACAATTAGACAGATTGCAATCGATTATGGTAATCATTTCCTTGAGATTGTTAGGCTGTTCACATTTATCTTTTCCCCGTTTGATAATTTGTGGTGCAAGTAAGTAAAATATGATAATTCAGTGTTTTTACTGTAATCGTTTAGGTTATCGCTACATGTACTATTGACTAAATTGTACATAACTGGCGAGATGGTAAGGACTTGACCTACTTTTTCGGTTGTGCTAATTCGATTCCTTATCATCTCCAACACTACATACCTCAGAGCTTGTAAGCTCCACACTGATCATTTGTCTGATGAAGGTGACCGTGTAGTCATCGAAACGACACACTCTTAATCTCCTATTGGTTGTGTTATAAGATGAAGGTGACCGTGTAGTCATGGAAACGTCACACTCTTAATCTTCTACTGGTTGTGTTATAAGATGAAGGTGACCGTGTAGTCATCGAAACGTCACAATCTAATCTCCTTGTGGTTGTGTTATAACGCCACACTCTAATATTCTACTGGTTGTGTTATAACGCCACACTCTAATATTCTACTGGTTGTGTTATAACGCCACACTCTAATATTCTACTGGTTGTGTTATAACGTCACACTCTAATATTCTACTGGTTGTGTTATAACGTCACACTCTAATATTCTACTGGTTGTGTTATAACGTCACACTCTAATATTCTACTGGTTGTGTTATAACGTCACACTCTAATATTCTACTGTTTGTGTTATAACGCCACACTCTAATATTCTACTGGTTGTGTTATAACGCCACAATCTAATATTCTACTGGTTGTGTTATAACGTCACACTCTAATATTCTTCTGGTTGTGTTATAACGCGACACTCTAATATTCTACTGGTTGTGTTATAACGCCACACTCTAATATTCTACTGGTTGTGTTATAACGCCACACTCTAATATTCTACTGGTTGTGTTATAACGTCACACTCTAATATTCTACTGGTTGTGTTATAACGTCACACTCTAATATTCTACTGGTTGTGTTATAACGCCACACTCTAATATTCTACTTTTTGTGTTATAACGCCACACTCTAATATTCTACTGGTTGTGTTATAAGATGAAGGTGACCGTGTAGTCATCGAAACGTCACAATCTAATCTCCTTGTGGTTGTGTTATAACGCCACACTCTAATATTCTACTGGGTGTGTTATAACGCCACACTCTAATATTCTGCTGGTTGTGTTATATCGTCACACTCTAATATTCTACTGGTTGTGTTATAACGTCACACTCTAATATTCTACTGGTTGTGTTATAACGCCACACTCTAATATTCTACTGGTTGTGTTATAACGCCACACTCTAATATTCTACTGGTTGTGTTATAACGTCACACTCTAATATTCTACTGGTTGTGTTATAACGACATCTTCAACACCCGTCACACTTTTTCTTTCTCTGACGTCATTCGGTAAAAAAATGTCGACAAAGATTTGCAGTGGTGACACAAATATATATTATAGGTAAATGTAAGAAACATTTTTTCTTATTTTTCTCGGCATTCATGAGGTCTATACAAGTTCATGTCAGAGATATATTTTGTATAAATGGGCCTTGAAAGTGATAAAAAAGATCCATGCAAGAGACAGTTTTGGAATGACTGGGTCATCGTACCGAACTATACTTGATTTTATATTAGGCAGGTTGGTATGGCAAGGTCTCCATATTTATCCATATAAGAAATAATTGGTACCAGGTATACAACTGGTCATCCGACAAAGCATGTCAATGCAGGAGTAACTTTGTGTGCAACTAGGCCTCCGTACTGCTCTACAAAGTTACTTATAAGAAACAGGTTTGTATGACTGGGCCTCCATACTAATCTTAAAAGGAACCTGTAAGAGACAGTTTGGTCAAACTTGGCCTCCGTACTTACAAATCGATTATATGTAAGTGAAAGTTTTGTATGACTGGACCTCCGTAATGCTGAACAGGGTTATCTGTAAAGGAGAGTTTTGTATTGCTGAGCCTCCGTAATTCTCCATGAAATTATCTGTAAAGTCAGTTTTTTATGAGTGGGCCTCCGTACCGCTCAATAAAGTTACATGTTAAGGCAGTTTTGCATCACTGGACCTCCGTACCTCTGAATAGTTATATGTAAGGAACAGTTTTGTATGACTGGGCCTCCATACCGATCTATACAGAACTGAGCATTTGAATGAATCGTTCTATTCAGTCCAATGAGCTGAACGATTTTTGAAGGATTATCCTTGAGGTAAAATGGATTGTTTTAATCTGTGTTTACTGAGATTAGTTTCAATTATTTACTGGTCGTTCAGGCATTTAACTCGCCGCATATCGATTGTCGCATAACATTTCATCGGGTTTCACTTCGGAACGCCATGAATGGACGTAGGCCTTGGTAACTTTACAGAATCTGCAGGTAAATATGTTGTGTAATGTATATATATATATATGATCGAGTCCATTTTATGTAAAAGATTTCTTTTAGTTTTTTTTTTTTTTTTTGTCTTATATGTATGAATATGGATGATAAAATATCCATTACGGGGAAATGGTTTTAACAGGTACCGGACTTACTTCTGTATACATTCTACATGTGATATATATTTATATACATAGATGTTATTTATGTTGGCACTTAAGGTACAAAGGGCGTACAATATACAACAAACGTGGTTTATAAAACGAACCTTGTTTGTGCATTTTAGATTTTTTTAATGACGTGATTTTAAAAGTACACGAAACATATATTGATACTGTGAAAACCCAATGTATGTGGCCAAAGTCAATTAAATACTTACGTGTATACTGAATATCTTATGCGCCCTATATCATAGTCATCACATTTTTAGATATGGTGGTTGGAGATAGGCAGTGTACTTAACCAAAGAGGTGTTGTATATTAAAACGCTTCATATGATGACATTATGGAAATTTACTGTTAAATTTAGTCTTTAACATGTAAAAGTGAAATACAATTTCTGTAGGGTTACAGCGGCATGTGTCTCAAGTGTAGATATATACTGTATATACACACCATCCTTCCTCCTGTACCCTCAGTCCATCTAGAAAAGTGGCGAGCGTCTTAAGTGTCCGAAGCTTCCTACAGTCACTGCGGTATACCACTCGGTACAGAGGTTCTACAACCACTGCGGTATACCACTCGGTACTGGGGTTCTACAACCACTACGGTATACCACTCGGTACTGGGGTTCTACTACCACTGCGGTATACCACTCGGTACTGGGGTTCTTCAACCACTGCGGTATACCACTCGGTACTGGGGTTCTACTACCACTGCGGTATACCACTCGGTACAGGGGTTCTACTACCACTGCGGTATACCACTCGGTACAGAGGTTCTACAACCACTGCGGTATACCACTCGGTACTGGGGTTCTACAACCACTGCAGTATACCACTCGGTACTGGGGTTCTACAACCACTGCAGTATACCACTCGGTACTGGGGTTCTACAACCACTGCGGTATACCACTCGGTACTGGGGTTCTACAACCACTACGGTATACCACTCTGTACTGGGGTTTTACTACCACTGCGGTATACCACTCGGTACTGGGGTTCTACAACCACTGCGGTATACCACTCGGTACAGGGGTTCTACTACCACTGCGGTATACCACTCGGTACAGTGGTTCTACAACCATTGCGGTATACCA